GGAAAGGTCTAAACTTGATGTCCAGGAAAGAGCGGGTAAAAGTTCTAAACATATGTTACTATTTACAACCCATTAAATTGGAAACAATTAAAAATACAGCCAATCCCAGTTGTGGTCACTTGTTATGGAGAAAAATACATGTTTGCACATCCCAGGCCCTTTCGCCCAGCCCAGGGCTGATAGTTCACTGATGAAGGCCGCCAAGGAAAGTCAGTTTGTGCGTGCGAGTGTGCATACCAAGCCCACCGCAGCCCACTCTCAAGCGCATTCAGACCTTCCCCATCCCCGTCCCCCCTCCCCCCGCCCCAGCTCCAAGAAGCCTTTCCAGGTCCCTGGCCGGGATCACCTCCTGTGGTTACCATCCTGGCCCTCACTGGACTGCCCAAACCTCCTGCCTCCTATGGGGGTGCTCACCCCCCACCCTGGCTGAGAGCTCAGTGAGGGCAGGGCGGGAGGTTTCCCAGTCCCTGCCCCGCCCTTGGAGGGGACACTGGCTGTGTGGTTTACGTAAGTGGTGAGGATGCTAATTATCTAGAACTGCCCCCTCCTGGAGGCAGCGGATCCGGGAAGCTCTCTGGCCCCCAAGGAAGGTTTATTTGCTTTCCAGCTGGGGGACCACTGGCCAGTTGTCAGCTTCCGGGGGCCTTGCAGGCGGCCAGTGCAAGGGCCCTGTGTGACGGTGGGTAGGGAGGCTGAGGCTCAGGGAGGAGGCAGCACAGCCAGGATCCTTGCCCCGGGTCTGTCCTCCCACACGCACACGCACAGGTCAAGGCGCTGGCTACCACCGGCCAGTTTGGACTGAGGAGCCGGCAGGAGATGGTTCTTTAGCTGCCAGTGTGTCCTGGCACCAGAGTGGCACAGGGCTGACCTCTCCAGGCAATAAGCCTCAAACTCTTTCTCCTGCCCGTGAGCAAGCTGGCCAAGGTAACTTCCGAGGTCCGGGCCCCCTACTTGGCCTGGACGCTGGCACCCCACACCCGGGGGCTCTGAGCCAGGCCTGCTGGGGCTCTGAGCATCTTCCCTCGAAAAGCCGGGGACGGGAGACAGCGAGGCTGCCCCCAAGGCACAGCACTCACACTGGGGGCCTCACAGGGCCCCGTGTACCCCTCCATGGGCATCCGTGTGTGCATGTGCTTGATTTAAGGAGACTATGTCAACCCCTGGACCCCCAATTTTGAGAATATACACTTTTCCAGCCCACGCGGAACATTCAGACACACCTGCTGTGCACTGGCCGGTGGGTGCCACCGACTCTGAGCACCCCCACCGCCCGGGTCCCGGCTCACTGAGGCGGGCTCCGTTAGCACGTGGCCCTGGACGGCCATGATGGGTGGCATGGCTGGGGGTGTCGCCGTGTGTGTCCCTGTGTGTCGCACACCCACACAAAGGCGCCCCCGCTGGCTGGGAGGGGGGAGGAGAGGGGAAGGAGGCCCCTCGAGTGAGGGAGAGCAGGTCTCAGAAGGCCCTTTATTTACTTGCAGAAGCCATTCCATCTTCCTGACAAGAAACAATACACAAAGCAATGGCTTCCTCCTGCCTCCCTGCCTCCCTCCCTCCCTCCCGGCAACCCCTACCCTGCGGCGGGAGAGGAAGAGGCTCCATTGAGGAGTCCCCGCCCCACCCTCTGCGTCCCAGGGCCTAAGTGGAGCCACCCAGACTTGAGAATTGTCCCACACCCACGTGCGTGTGCCCCCTGTGCCATGTACCAGTGAAAGTATGTGTGTGAATGTGTGTGTGCATGTGTGTGAGTGTGGGCGGGTGCATGACTATGTGTGTGTGTGTGTGTGTACGTGTGTATGTGTGTGTGCGTGGGGGTGTGCATGTGTGTGTGCATGTAGGGGGGGGTGAGTGTGTGTGTATGTGTGTGATGCTGTGTGCGTATCTGTGTGTGGGGTGTGTGTGAGTGCATGTGTGCATGTGTGTGTGTGTGTGTGCACATGGGGTGTGTGTGTGCATGTGGGGGTGAGTGTGTGTGTATGTGTGTGTGAGTATCTGCGTGTGGGGTGTGTGTGTGAGTGTATGTGTGCATGTGTGTGTATGCGTGTGTGAGTGTGTGCATGGGGGGTGTGCGCGTGGGGGGTGTATGTGTGTGTGAGTGCGTATGTGCGTGTGTGCGTGCGGGGTGTGCATGTGTGTGTGTGCGCATGTAGGGGGTGAGTGTGTGTATGTGTGTGTGAGTGTGTGTGTGCGCGTGTGGGGGTGTGCATGTGTGTGTGTGAGTGCATATGTTGGTGCAGCTTAAGCGTGTCCACTTAGGAAAACGGGGGCCTTGGCTCGGGTACTCCAGGACCCCTCCCTTCCCGACGTGGACCCCTGCCTCCAAGACCCAGGGCCACCCTCCGGTGCAGAGCCCGTCACAGGACCTCTGCCCGCCCTGCTGTGCCCACAGGCCAGGTGCCCCTACAGCCTCCTTGCAGGGCTCTGATGACAGGCGCTCACTGGCTGGGAGACAGCCTCTTCCATTTAAAACAAAGTCCTCCGTACTGAGCAGACAGCGTCCTGGCGGTGGGGTTCAGGCACGCGAAGGAACTGCTCATTTCCGGCCTCTTCCACCATCTTCTGAGGTGGGTTCAGCCTCGGTGTGCTCACCCCACTGGCCAGCACTGTGGGCAAGGAGCCCCTCTGGGCCCTGGGAGAGGCCCGGCCGAGGGAACCCTGGCCGTGACATTTCCCTGCCACACCCACAGGGGTGTGGGCTCAGCCCCGGCCACTGGCTCCTCTAGAGGATGGGAACCAGGCCCCCCGGAGGCTCTGCCTGTAAGAAACGGGGCTTCCTCTGCCAGGGGCGGGCTGGGGCACACGTGTGCTGCCTGGGGAGAGCCCCTGGTCGGATGCTGAAGGACACCCTCTGGGTGAGGCCCTGGAGAAAGCGGGGCACACTGTCTGGGTCAGAGCTCAGGTTGGGGAGGCCTGCGAGGTGGGAGAGGGGGGCTGTGGCCTGGGGAGGCAGGACAAGGGGCGTCCCCTCAGACCGAGGCGCCGTCTCAGAGCCGCACCCCTTCGGATGCGGGTTCCCCGCTAGCCTGGCCCGGGCAAGAGTCGAGCGGGCAACCAGGGGCCAGCGGGCTGCTGAGAGGCTCGGGCGGGGGGGTAAGCGGCCTCAGAGGTCCGTGGGGAGGGAAGTCTCCACCGCAGGCCTGCTCTCTGCCTCCCCCTCGTCGGGGCTGGGCTGGAAACAGTAATTACAGGGCCCAGCTGTGGCACCACCAGCCAGCCCGCCCCGCCCAGCCCCTGCGCAGGCCAGCAGACAGGGTCCTTGGGAAATTCTGGCCTCCCTTTCCCCAGCCCACCGCCGGCTCTGGAGGAGGCAGGAGTGGTCCCCAACACTAGAAGAGGTGGTGGCGTAGGGGCTTCTCACTCTGTGGTTGGGGAAACTGAGGCCCGGGAAACCGGAGAAGAGGCAGGTTTAGGGCTGAGGTCTGACCTCGGATGCAGCAGGCAAAGGCAGTCAGGCCCTGAATCGGCAGGGCTAAGAGAGACCCCCAAAGAGCGGAGTTTGTGCTCTGCCTGAGCCCCCTAAGGGGCTGACATCGCAGGCTCTGGGGTGGCCAGGAATCCCGGCCCCTCTAGGGCCCAGTCAGGCCCTGGCCTGATCCTGAGCCCTCACCATCCTCCAGAGCCCACCCTCCTGCCATGACCCCAGTCCGGCCACCGCCCACAACTCCCAGGCCATGACCTCTCCCTGACCCCTAGCCTATGCTGGAAGCCCTTCCCTAGCGGGGGCTCCTCATTGAGGCTCATATGGCACCTCCGCCCTGAAGCCTGCCTGGCCCTCCCCTCCTCGTATGTCAGAAGTTCCCTGGCCACCCTGACACCTCTTATCACACCTGCCTCCTGCCTTATATCACGGGCAGCTGTGCACGGGGCTTATCTCGCCCAGACCGTGGGCTTCCCCGGGGCAGGGAGGCAGCTGACTCAGCTTGCACCAGCCTGCAGCAGCCCTGGCCCTGAGTGCAGGCGGCCGAGGGGAGACAGCCGAGGAGAGAGTCAAAGGAGCTGGAGTGCCCAGGACAGCACCTTCTACATCCAGAGCCCAGCCACGCCCTGCTATGTGCCCATTTCTCAGACGGGGCCCAGGGCCATCGGGCAAGGGGCAAGGCATTTGTGTGGAGTCACACCGAGTAACAGTGGCTGAGCTCTGGCAGGAGACCTTAGAACCAGCCTAGAGGGGCCGGTCTGTGGTCCCTCCAGGGCGTACCCTGAGCCCTGACTCAGTGGGGAGAAAGTTCTCTGGGCCATGTCCCGGGGGGACATCCCCTGACTCACCCCAACCACTTCCTGCCACTTTTCCCCCTATTTTCCTTGGAAATCTCCATGCCAATGACTGGCTCCATGCCAATGACAGGCTTGGGTTTGGGTGGGGCACAGGGCCCAAGGGGATCCCCCACCCCCCTGCAGGGTCTGGAGGAAAGAGTAAACTACCAGTTTTGTAAACTGGTCTCTGTGCCTCTTGAGGCCTTGAGGCCACCCACCACACACACACACTCCCGGTCCCACCGGATCCCAGGTCCAGTGTCTGACAGGCCCCCTTGGCGGGTGGGAGACACTGTTTCCAGTGGGTGGACGGGGCAGTGCCTGGGCCCCACCACAATGCTCAGCACACGCATGTCCAGCTCGGCCCCTGGGGCCTCCCCCAGCCCTGGGCAGGGTGATAACCGCCAGCCCACAGCGAGCTTGCGGGAAGTGCGGGTGTGGCAAGACTATCAGACACCTAGGTGCCCTGTGCAGCCTCAGGGCCCTGGGCTCCAAGGAAACGCAGCAAGTTAGCAGCAGATAGGACTGCCCCCAGCCCAGAGCAGCCCCCCCCCAATGAGGCCGCCCCTTCTTCCTCCTACAGCCTGCCTACCGCCTGCCTAGCCCAGGTATTAGGGTGACTCTGGAAAGTGGAGATCAGAAAGGGGACGAGACACTGGAGCAGGGTGTGGCCAGGTCGGATGGCATCTGCCTGGCACACGGTGGCAGAGGGATCAAGCTCCCCAGCAGGGGCCTGTCCCTGGAGAGGGAGGGTCAGGAGGGGCCAGGAAAACCTGGGGATGAGACTCCTCCCCTCGGGGGACCACTCCCCCAGCCCATCATGCGGGCTGAGCTCCAGTGTGAACCCCCCTCCCCAGAAGGGCACTCCCTGAGGTGGCCTGGCTCTGCCCCCACCAGAGAGGCTGAGGCCCGAGGGCCGTGACCCTTACACCCTCCCGGCTGTGCCTTTCTGACTGAAGTCTAAACTCCGGCTGCAGGGCTAATCTTTAACTTCAGGCTGAGCCGCGCTGGCTGCCCCGAGGGCTGGGCGAGGTGTCACTGTGACACAACCGCTAATCCCCAGGGCAGGGCTGTGCGCTGCCCTCTGCACAGATCCTACCGCTGAACGTTGGCGGGGAAGCCCAAGGACAGTCCCAGTCACCACCCAGTGCCATCTCTCTCACTGTCCCCACACCCGCCGCCCTGCCCAGGGCCCGCCAGCCTCCTCTCTCCGCACGAGATCTAATTCCTCTCCTCTGCTCCTTGGCCTCTCCCGCCCTGGGAGAGCACCCCCCGCCCCCGCCCTCGGTGCTCCTCAACATCTTCCAAGCCTCAGTCAGCCTCTCGAGCCAAAGCACCCCCTGCTGTGGCCCAAGCGGGGCCTGAGTATGCACTTGGCTCGGGGTCTGGAAAAGCCCAGGTCTGCGACAGCGGGCGGCGGCGGCCAAAGGCCAATTAGCTGTGCTAAGCGCCCGCGAGGAATTCTTTTCAGCAGCTGCCACCCAGTTGCCAACATCTGCTCATCATTAGTGCCCCTAGCCCACGCCCCACTCAAGCCAGGAGCAGTAGGCACAGGCGGGGACCCCCTCACCCCACCCAGGCTCACACAGCCCACTAACATGCTCACACACACACACACACACACACACACACACGGGAGCGCGCGGCTTACGCTCACTCCAGCCCCATGCCGCCATCCACGTGTATCACCCGTCCACACACACAGACACCCAGGCCACACCTCCCAGTGCCCAGCCACAGAGTGAAGCCCAGACCCGAGGCAAGAGGTCCCTGCATATCCCGCCCTGCGATCCAGGAAAACCACCTGCCAACAGCCCAGAAAGCCTTCTCGGCCCCCAGCCTCTCCCATTCCTGGGGCCAGAGGAGCGGGAGGGGGTTTCCTGAAGGCAGTCTGTCTGGGGACCTGTGGGGCTCCCTGGAGATCAGTGGGTCCCCTAGGAGGGGCTCCACTGCCCACACCCCTGCAGACCCGGCTGCCGGGCCCCTGGTTTGGGGGGGCTGGGGACAGGGGCTGAGTGTCCCAGCGTCCAAGCTGCAGGAGCAGCGAGCTGGCTGCACAGGCAGGGCTGAGGGGCCAGAACCTATAGGCCAGAGGTGAGGAGCTGCTGGCCCAACACTAGCTGCCTCCAGGGCTCGGTCCCCACAATAGATGACCTCAGGGGACGTTGGCAAGACTGTTATTCTCGGGGCCTCAGCTTCCCAGTGCCCGGCAGGAAGCTGGCTCTGGGCGGCGTGCGGAGCTGAGTTCCAGCCCCAACTCTGCGTGATCTCCGGCCACCTCTTGTCCTCCCGGCTCCTCAGTGTCCCCATCTGCCCAATGGGTGGAGGATGAGGCCGTGTCAACACCACTCGAAAGCCCACCCTACTCACCGCATTGCTGCCCAGGGAGTTGCCGGGCAGGGAAGAGGTGATGCCCGAGAGGATGGCGGTGGCGACGATGGCCCCCACGCACTGGGCGATGATGTACAGGACAGCCCGGAGGACGCTGATCTGGCAGCTGAGCAGCAGCCCCAGGGTGACCGCTGGGTTGAGGTGGGCACCGCTGATGTGGCCCACGCTCTGGGCCATCGTGGCGATGCTCAGCCCGAAGGCCAGGGACACCTTCACATTGTCCTGGGCCGCACCTGATGTCTGGTTGTTCTTCAGCGGGAAGTTGAAGCCCAGGGCAGAGCCGATGCTGATGACGATGAAGAGGGTCATGGCCAGGAACTCGGCCACCACTGCCCTCCAGAAGAGCTTCTTCTTGAACTCGCTGGCCATGCTGGCGGGGGCTTGGCTGGAGACCGCTGCTGGTGCCTGACTCCCTCTGAGGGCTGAGCCACAGCCCGGGCTGTGGCCTATTTATAGGGCCCCCGGGGGAGGAGAGGAGGGGGAGCACAAAGGGAGGAAGGCCTCTCCTGCTCCTGGCCCGCCCCACACCGCACGGGCCTCCTCTCGGCGATGGATGCAGACACAGCTCTGCTGTTGGCCTGCCAACTTTTTTCCCTTCCTCCTCTCACCCCTCCCTGACTCTCTCCCTCCGCCCTCCGCCCTGCCCAGCTGAGGAGGCAGGCGGGAGGCTGCCTCTGCTAATAGGCTTTGGGAAATTCCTCCAAGTGGGCCCCACTCAGGGGGCTGCAGAAATCCAGGTGTCCCCGCCCTGTGTGCAAAGCTTAGGGGGTGCCCAAGGGCAGAGCCAGGCCCTCCAGAAGGAGGGGGTGCGTTGAGCAGGCTGGACCTGGAGGGTGGACATTGCCCTCCCTGGAGGCGGGCACCATGACTCTGCTGGTCTGGCATCCCCATCCCACCCCAGACTGGCGTTAGTCCGGAATCCATGCGTCCAGGCATCCGGAGGGGCAGCCTGGGCCTCCTGCACCCCAGTCCTGGGCTGGCCACTGGATGTCACCTCAGGGATGTCCCAGAGCCCCAGGCACACCGCCAGACCTCAGCCAAGGGGGCACCAAGGCAGAAGTCTGAGAGCTGGTCTGCGAACCAGCCCCACTCTGGGGCCAAGGGCAGGCCTGAGAGAGGTGAGGAGGCTGGGTGCCCCCTCACCGGGAGGCCTCAAGCTTCTGGGGCAATTCCCAGCAGTGATTCAGGGGCAGAACCACGGGAGACAGAGGCAAGACTGGAAGCGGGAGGGAAAGGGGAGGAGGGGAGAGTGAGGAAGGAGGACAGACAGACGGGGAGGGAAGGGAGCGGACACAGCCCTGCAGAGAGAGAAAGACACACTAAGAGAGAAGTAGAGTCATCACAAGAATGGAAATGAAAGAGAGAGATCCCCAGGCAGACAGTGACGTGGACCAGGGAGAAAGAGGAAAGACGAAGAGCGTGCCCAGCGGTGAGACCGGCTGCAAGAGGGGAGACCCGACTAGGCCCAGAGACCAGAGCGAAAAGGGGAAGATGTGCCAGGAGCGAGAGGTGGGAGAAGGAAACAGACAACACACTGAGCTGCTGCACCTTAGTGTGTGGAGGAGGGCCAGGCCGAGCCCAAGCCCTGAGGCCTGGCCCAGGAGAGAGCCCCGTACCCTGGTCTCTTCCGCCTCCTGTCTGCCCCATGCCACCCTGTGTGTGAGTGGTAGCTTATCCCCATTTTATACGTGGCAAACTGCGGCCCAGTGAGGGAAGGACTTCCCCGAGTTCTGCAGGTACCGGGGGCAGGGCAGGGGTGAGCGTGTGGGTCTGGTGCCGCCTGTCCAGGGGCCATCTGCAGAGAAGACAGCAGGCCCCTCCCCTGGCCACCCTCCTTCCCGGCCCCAGCAATGAGCCACCAGGGGTCAGACTGGTGTTTGCTGGGAGGAAGCCTGCTGGGGGAGGAGGTGGGGGGAGCGTCTACCCCAGGACACCAAGTGCCTGCAAGCACAGGACGAAGTGGGCACGAGGTGAAGTCGGTGTGGTGGCCGGTGGGTCCTGTCTGCTCAGAGAGACCCAGCAGCTGAGGCCAGAGGTAACCTGTACCCTATTAACTATGAGAGAGAGAGAGAGAGAGAGAGAGAGAGAGAGAGGAGAGAGCACCGGCCTACTGGGGCCACTTCCAGAACCTCCTCCACATCGGTCACTCCGGGCAGCGCTGGCTCGGCTCTCTGCAGCCAGGAGGCTCCCTCTCGCCCTGGCCCCGGGTCTAGGGTTCCATCCACAGGCCTGAGATCCCCCACATCCGGGCTCCAGGGGCTGGCCCTGCTTCCCCTCAGACCAGGCTCCGGAGGCGTGGCTGGGCGCCCCCAGCCAGGGAGGTCTGGAGCGGGACCCTCTCCCCTCAATGTCCTCTAAGACACATACCCTCCTCCTCTTCCCTCCTGCTCCCAGGTCCCGACAGGGCCACACCCGTCCCTGCCCTGCGAGGGTGCAGGGGTGGGTTCTGACACTGCAGGGACAGGGTCCCTTGCAGGAGGGCGTGAAGGTGGCATGCAGAGCTGGCACCAGGCCCACGGGGGTCGCTTGACCTGGGCTGGAGTGTGGGGGCTGCACAGCGGAGACGGGACTCGGCGCCTTGGGGCCTGTGCCTGTCCCGGCTTTGGTGACAGTGCCCACGGGCCAGGCCAGGATCCGGGCAGCTGAGGACACAGGAGGTGCCACCATGCATGAGGTGAGAGTCACCTGGGACTTACTCATTTACCCACCAAACCTTTACTGGGTGCATGCCACATGCCTGATGCTGTCCTGGGCACTGGGAAGCGGCTCCAGACCACACAGCCCAGCGCCGTCCTCCCAAGGCTTGCGTCCTAGCCCGTGAGCCTGCAGGCTCCGTGTGGGCACCTGGGTGACAGAGTGTGTGGCTGTGGAGGGCACCTTGGCAGAGGCCCGTGTCCTTCTGGAGCAGGGCAGGAGGCGAGGACCCAGGGTCCCGGAGTAGGTAGGCAAAGCACTTTTGTCTGGGCCAGTTAGGTACCTACCAATCTCGGGGTGATAAACAGAGGCCCTCAGGGCAATGCCCCAGCCACCCCGCGTTCCCCCCTCCTCCTCCCTGGGCCAGCATGCTTCTGCCCTAAGGGCCACCATGAAACTCATTCACACGCCTCTCCAACATAAAGCCCACCTCATCTCCCACAATGCAGAGGGGCCTCTGTGTCCGTGACCTATGTCCACGGGAAAAGAGAAAGATCTCCTACTGGAGCCCCAGACCCAGGAAGGCCCCAAACCCCTCCTCCACCTTTTTGCCACACATCTGGGCCAACAAGCAGGGGAGGGAGCGAAGTAGCATCGAGCTGAGGGCCGTCTGCACAGTTCTGGGAGGCTCAGAAGCCGAGTGACTTGCCCGAATGGCAGAGCTGGGGCTGGAACTCAGGACCCCTGGTTCCCAGGGCCCACGTCTGCTCTCTGCCTGCCTGTCGGAAGGGCCCCCATGGGCCCAGTTACCAGAGGGAACCCCAGGAACAAGTACACAGCTGGGGGTCCAGGCCCCAGAGGCACCAGGATGGGTGAGGGGTGAGTGAAGGGACACTTCAACTTGCCTGAATAATGACCGGACGGTAGGATGGATGGGAAGGAAGCAGGGGCCTAAGAGTGGACACAGAGAAGTGGGAGAGGCCAGAGTCCGCCCTGCAGACCTGCTAGCCTGGGAGCAGGGCTCGAAGCAGGGCCAGGCCTCACCCCGGCTCCTCCTCCCGCAGGGTCTGAGTCGGCAGCTCCATGTCCCTCCCATGGACGTGGACCGCGGCCCAGGCCCAGCCTCCAGAGCCCCCGGGCCTGAGCCAGGCTAAATAAGGGGGACTGCCCCTCACCCCAGGGCGGGGCTTGAGGCCACTCAGGCTTGAGGGCACCTCGGGGCCCTGTTAGAGCAACGTTCCGAACAAACGCTTTTCCAGATGTGCCTTATTCCTGACGCGCCCGGCAAGACCCAAGTTCCCGCCAGAGCTGGCCGTTCCCACCACGGTCTGGGCTCTGTCCCCACCGGACCCGTGGGAGCGCCTCGGGCGTGGGCCGAGGTGGGCGCAGGAGACTCAGATGCTGGCTAAGGAGCTGGACCTTGGGCCGTGTGGGGCAGAGGCGCCCACGGGGTGGCCTGGTTGTCACAGGGCAGAGGGGAATCACCCTCCCACGGGCCAGGCAGGGGCTGCCCACGCAGGTGGGGCCGCAGGAAACAATGACTTCACCACCTCCAGGAGGACCACCGGGAAGATGGCGTTTGGGGCAGGAGGAGGCTCAGACAGCCGACTGGCCATGACCACTGGGCACCGTCAGCTCACCAGCAGCTCAGATGACTTTTCCAGAGACTCTCAGGCAGAGAGCACTGAGGGAGGGTCAGTCCCTGGGGGTCCTGGAGAGGCGTGTGCATCAGAGGAGCCCCTGCCGCCTCCCAGTTCGGCCCCTGCACAGGGCGCTCACGACCACCCCTCCCCTGACCTGGATCTAGGACCCGGGGGCCCTAGCTCCCTCCCCGACCCTACGGGAGGCAGGGGTCCAACTGGGGCTTTGGCACCAGTGTGGACCTAGCCTTCCTGTGAGCCAGGGCCGTCCCCTTCCATGGGACGGGAGGAGGGACACAGGCCCAGAGCAGAGACCAAGAAGGATACAGGACGTCCCCTCACACTCCTCGGCCCAGGCCTCAAGGCTTCCTGACTCCAGACAGGGGCCCAGTTCCTGTGCCACCAGGCCTACTGCCCCTGGATGATGGGGTGCACCTCTCCCTCCTCCTTCCCACCTGCCCCAGGCTCCCCTGGTCCCTCCTCCATGGCAGCACCACAGTCATGAGGGTGAGCTGTCCCCTCATGGCTCCACGGGGAGAGGCTGTGCGCCCAGCAGTGCTGAGCACAGGACGGGGCGGGGCGGGTATGGGGGGGGCTGATGTGGGAAGCATCTGTTCTCTGACTCCCCCCAAGGCCACAGCACCCACCTCTCAAAGCCTGTGAATTCCTCCCTGCCTGACAGATAACTCCTGGCCATGTAGGCGTCACACGATCCCCCCTAAATCAATCAAAACCGGATTTAGTGGGCCACCAGTGATTCACCAGGGGAACAATTTAGCCATTTTCTAAGTCACCGCCTCTGGTTCACTTCTCCCACTGCCCTCCCCCCAACCCTGCCTGCCCTGAGCAATATTGAGAAACAAACCTACGTCGGAGAGGCAGGGTTTTCTATTCTGAGGTTTGGCAACTCTCCAGCATTGGACCCTGACCTGATGCCCCAGAAGAGAAGCTGGAAAGATCGGACAGGAAAACTCTGCCCCAGCCCAGCTGGGACTACGAGAGTTTGACCACCATGTCCACAGGGTCCACAGTCAGGCTGGACCCCTGGGCCTGCACGAGGGCACTGGGAGCACAGGGCTGCCCCGCCTACCCCCGCTCTGCCTGCACAGAGGAGGTCCACCAAGAGGGAGTGAGGTCACGGTTTCCCAGCCCTGCCCTGCCCGTGAGAAGGGTGCCAGGCCAGGAAGGCAGCATCCCTCACTTCCAGAAACTGCTGGTGATGGCATTTGTGCGGGGCTGCCAGCCACACCCTTGGGGACCAGGGATGGGTGGGTGGGGATGGCTTCTGTGCTGCAGGTCCCTGGAAGGG